AAAAAAAATATATATATTAGATAAACTAGTTAAAAAACGGTAAAAAAGAAAAGGGTAAAAGTTAAAAAAAATTTGGCAGAAGAAGAGAAAAAAAAATTGAAAAAGAAAAAAAAAATTAAATTAACTGCAAGGCTAAAGAATCATGGGGAGAAAGCCATGAGTTCCGTGCTTTGCTTTCTCCTCCTCTGGAATTCTGCTGCTCTCCTTGGTATTGAAACGGCACTCCTTGGCAGGTGAACTTGGTCCTGGCTGGATTTCTTGTTGCTCTTCTGGGGGAGGGGCCTGTTGTAGTGATTCTCAAGTGTCTTTGCCTCAGGCGGAATTGTACCTTACCAGGGGCCGGGCTGAGTAATCCGCTCGGTTTGCTTTCGGGAGCTTTTGTTCCCTGAGCGCTTTCCGTAGAGTTCCGGAGGACGGGAATGAAGATGGTGGCCTCCCAGTCTCCGGCCCGGAGGAGCTGAGAGCCCAGGGCCCCACTCCTCAGTGCGCCCTCAGAGAACAGCACCCAATTACTCCCGTCACCCTGGCCTCCGGCCGCGCTCCGAGCTCACCGAGCCTGCGACCGGTTCAAGGTAACTCCAAGCTGAGAGCTCACTCCTTGGCTCTGTCTCTGTAGCCGGCTTCCCCGTTCTAATACCTGCAAGCTCTGCGACACTCAGACACTCCAGATCCTTTTGTGACCCTGTGGGACCTGAGGCCACGCTGACCCCGCGTGGGCTTCACCCCGGTTAAGCCTCTGGAACGATGTCCCTCAGCGGAACAGACTTTTAAAAGTCCTGATTTTGTGCTCCGTTGCTCCGCCGCTTGCCGGGTGCCGGCCCCTCCCCCTGCGGTCTATCTTCCCGTCGCTTTGGATTCACTTCTCCGCCAGTCCTACCTTTCAGAAAGTGGTTGATTTTCTGTTTCTAGAATTGTTGTTCTTCTTCTCTTCGATCTCCCGTTGCATTTGTAGGTGTTTGCAATCTTTAGATAAGCTATCTAGCTGATCTCCCGCTACCTGAAGTAGTCTCAGCCAGCTCCTTCTCCGCCATCTTGACTCCTCCCCCCTAAAGCAACTGTTTTTATAAAATAGCTTTTTTTTTTTAAACTTTTTTTTTTAAGATTTTTTTTTTTTATTTGACAGAGAAATCACAAGTAGGCAGAAGTAGGCAGAGAGAGGGGGAGAAGCAGGCTCCCTGCTGAGCAGAGAGCCTGATGCGGGGCTCGATCCCAGGACCCTGAGATCATGACCTGAGCGGAAGGCAGAGGCTTAACCCACTGAGCCACCCAGGCGCCCCTAAAATAGCTTTTTTAAACAAAAAGTTTTTCTTGTAAATAAACAAAAACTTCAGTTTGGAAATGCATAAGTTAAAAAGTATCCATCAATGAAACAAAGTATCCATCGATAGATGAGTGCTTAAACAAAATGTGGTCAATATGTATAACTGAGTATTACTCAGCCTCAATTCTGATACACGTGTCAACATGGAGACAATATAAGTGAAAATGAAAGGCATTCTGCTAGGTGAAGTAGGCCAGACATGAAAGGACAAATGTATGAATCAACTTAGATGAGTTTACTTAGAATAGTTCTTGGAGAAAGAAAGTAGAACAGTGGCTCCCAGGGGCTGGCAGGACAGGGGAGAATGGGGGGTTACTGTTCAATGGGCACAGAATTTCAGATTGGAATGATGAAAAAGTTCTGGAAATGGATAGCAGTTGCACAACAATGTGAATGTACTAAATGCCACTGAACTATATACTTAAAAAATGCTTAAAATGGTCATTTAAAAAAAATGATTTTGTTTATTTGACAGAGAGAGAGTGAGAGAGCATGAACAGGGAGAGGGGAGCCCGGAGGGAGAGGAAAAGGGACAAGCAGACTCCCCACTGAGCATGGAGCCTGTTGCAGGCCTGATACCAGGACCCCAAGCTGAAGTCAGATCATCAACCAACCAAGCCACCCAGGTGCCCCTAAAATGGTCATTTTTATGTGATATATATTTCAGCACAGTTAGAAAAGGTGTGTGTGGGGGAAGGTCTATGTCCTTTATTAAAAGCATTAATAAAGTCAGGTTACTTACAGGTATAAATATCAAAAGCAGTAAAACATCTGACTTTCATGCAACTATACTATGGAAATAGCTAATTACATAAAATATTCATTACCATCTACAGTTAAGGAAAAACTCAAAACTAGAATTAGAAGTATTATAAAGATGATTATATACTCATTCTGTAAGTAAGATAAATTCTTTAATTGCTAGAATATATAAAAGGACCTATTTCTGAAAGGAACAATTTTATATAAACTCATCACTGGGTATCTGGGTGGTTCAGTTGGTTAAGCATACAACTCTTGGTTTCGGCTTAGGTCATGATCTCAGGGTTGTGAGATGGAGCCCAGTGTGGCATCAGCTTGGGATTCTCTCTTCCTCTGCCCTTCCCCCCCTGCATATGCACTTTCACTCTCTCAATAAATAAAATCTTAAAAAAACAAACTGTGGTAATTAGTACTATAATATGTTAAATATACTTTAATTAAAAACAACTATGCTAATTAGGGAAAACTCACAGCTGTTATTAAATCGTGGTTCAAGATCTTCAATAATGGCTCTCTTCTTCTGCAATTCATTATTGGCTTCATGAAGCTTCTCCCTGTAACAAAATATATAACATATTGTCACCTACTACTACTGCTTTTGTTTTTTTCCTCACTTGAAATGAAAGATCTAAGTTCTTTATTCTTGGGATACACTTGCATATTACACAACTGCTATGAAACAAAAGAGGATAAAAAAGCCTAATCCAACATGAATATATATTTTTAAAATAGGTTAAAAAATGGAGACAAAAATTTCAGACTTTGAAATAGTTATAATTTCTTTTACATGAATAGGCATAAGAGGACACAGAAAACGTAATGGTCTTTTTTTCTAGGAAGAGGATATTATAAACATTAATTTAAAACTTTACAGAGGTTTTACAGTACAAAAGTCTTATTGTAAAACAGTGTTAAAAATAAAAATAGAATGCTATCCCCCAATAAAAAAAAATTAATGATACATGCACTCACATGGATAGGTATCACAGAATTTTGAACATAGGAAGTCAAATACAAAAGGGTAATACTGTAGGATTCCTTTTAAAGTAAGTTCAGAATGTGTCAAAACCAATGAAAGGTGGTTAAGAGAGCAGCATAGTGGCTAGTTTGGGGATGGAATCAGTCAATTAGAAGGGAGAATGAAGAATTTTGGGGAGTTTACTGCAAGTATTCTATATGTTGATCTGGGGTATTTCTGAATGTAAAAAAATATTAATCAAACTCAGGAACTTAGAATTTGTGTACTTTATGTAAGTTATATTCCAATCCAAACGTAAAAAATGAACAGAAAGTTTCTTTCTATTAGTTATAATATGTGTAATTCTCTATTTAGTTTAGCACTTTGTAATAGCAGAGGAAAAAAGGCTGCATAAATTGGAAAATATAGGAAAAAAAAAACAGAAGAAAACAGAGCACTTTTAAAAGTCTATTTCTGGTCTTTTCTATGAGTAATACTCTAATAAGTCTAGTTTTCAACAAATTTTTTGAGTGTATCTATATGTATCTAGATATAAAATGAGTATATACAGCAGTTAAAATAGTAATTAACTTTCAGCTCAGTAAAAAGGTCATGAAACAGAAATTAACCCAGAAACTTAGGGAACCCAAACTCAGAAGTTTAATCTTTTTCATGACTTTCCTGATGAGCCTTTGTGTGTATTCCTAACCAATGTATTGGTGAATTTTGCCAAATTTTCACTTTATACATTATACTATATGTACTGTCCTGTGACTTCCATCTTTTACGTAATACCACGCTCTTGAGATTCACGTACATTGACGTGTTAGCTTTGAGTTACACAGCTGATTGCGGCATTATGTTCTGTTGTCTGAACATAACTCATTCTAGCTATTGTTTTACAAACTGGTGCTATTTGTATTGGGTCTACTTTTGTTATTGCAAACAATATTCTTTTATACTTTCTTCTACATGTCTCCTGACACATGGTTAACAGCATTTCTAGGAATCTAGGGTTGATGTAGAGAATGGACTCATGGGTCACAGCATACGTGCATGTTCAGTTTGCTAAGCAAACTGATAGAAACTCAGTGGAGAATACACTGCTGACCATCTTTGGCAATAGAATTACCTTTGCGGAACATCTTCGGCAATACTTAGTATGTCTGATTTTTAATTTTACCCAATTTGGTGTATGTAAAATACAGCATCTTCACTATAGTTTTAAATTTGCATGAGAATGACCTTTTGAAATGTCTATGGACCCTCTTGTGGATTGAATTATAACTCCCAAAAGAGATACAGTGAAGTCCTAACCCCCAATACCCAGGAATGTGAAAACACTATCTTTGCAGATATAATTAGTTAAGATGAGGTTGTGCTGGATCAGGGTGGGCCTTAAGTCCAATGACTGGTGTCCCTATATGAAGGCCATGTGAAGACAAAACGTACAGAGAGGAGGATGCCATGTGAAGATGGGGAGATAAGAGACTAGAGTGATGTGTCTATAAGCCAGGGAACAGCAAGGATTGCTAGCAGTCAGCCTGAAGACTCCCTTAGAACCTACAGAAGAAACCCATTCTGCTGACCTCCCTGATTTTAGACATGTAGTGTCAAGAACTGGAAGAAGATAAATTTCTGCTTTCTTTTTAGTCACCGAGTTTGTGGTAATTTGTTATGGAAGCCACTGGAGACTAACAGGCTTCATCCTCAATAATAAATTCTTTTTGATGAAGATATTTACCATGTAAATGAACACAGAACAACGGTTCTATTGTATGAACAATGGACTGTTGTATGAAACAACAGGTATTCCTTTTTTTTTTTTAACAATAGAGAAATGGTTAAGAAAAAAGGACAGAATTCAGAACTGAATTCTAACTCTAGGTAACCCCACAATGGCTAGAAGGCAACATTTTTTCTTCTGTTAGTGCATTAAGAATCTGCCCCTTGTTATACTTGCCAGCAAGTGTCAGCACCTGGGATTATCTCACTTTTCCCATATTACCCCCAACCCCCAAAAAAGATAGCATGAGACAAACTGCTCATATAAAAAAATTATAGAAATTTTTTTCCAATTATAGTAGAAGAAGTCAAAATTATCTCTGTGATACCAACGATGTCTGGTTTACCATAGTGGAACACTGTTAACACCCCCAACAGGCTAGCAATTCATGGCCACCATACATTCAATGTTCGTTAGGAGAGTGCTGCTAAAAACTGATAGGAAGGATTAAAATTGTTACTGGGCGTGAGGAAAATCACAAAACATTCCTAATGATGTCAACCTCAGTTAAAGATAAAGATGGATAAAGATTTCTTCTTCATAAGAAAACAAATGTAATATTTTAAAATTTATTTCATTTTTAGGTTAAAAAGTCACTTTCAAATATATTTGTAACTCAAGGAAATGTCTGAAAATCTGCTACTGATAAGCTCTGTAGTACTTTAAAACTTCACTTAAAAAGGAAGATTCAGCTGCCTATACTCTAGAGCTGGCAAACTACAGTCTCTGGGCCAAATTCAGCCAGCTGCCTGTTCTTGTATAAAGTTTTACAGAACAGTCACAACATTAATCTATAGTCTATGGCTGCTTTCAAACTACGAAGCTACATGATTGTGACACAGACCATGGTTTACAAAGCCTAAGGTAACTGCTAGCTGGCCCTTTACAGAAAAAGGTTCCTGCTTCCTGATCTATAGTGTCTCAAACTTCTAGTTATAAATACTACCACAAACACATAAAACTCTGGAGTCTTAGGAGAAAACAGTTCTAAAGCAGTACTTATTTTGACTTAAGGACACTGGGTGGAGATGACCCTTTAGACAATAAATAAGTCTTATAATTTCCTGTATCTTCAGGGGCCACCTGTGCCATTGCCTAAATACTCTGTAACCACCTAACAAAATACTTCTATTTCACTGGAGGATAGGAGAATGAGACTCAACAGCTTTTATACTTACAAATGTTCTTCAAGCTTCTTTTTTAGAAGAACTGACTGAAAATGGAAAATAAAATAAATTTATTTAACAGTTTAACTAACAAAATTATTTTTTAAAAATAAAGAGTACAGTAGTAACTGACCCTGAATGAGTTCTCAGTTAAGTTCTCTGGTCAAAGAGCTCAAAATAGACAAGGTACCTAAGTCTATTTCTCTCATTCTCTCTCTCTCTCTCTTTTTAAGATTTTATTTATTCACTTGTCAGAGAGAGAGAGAGAGAGAGAGAAAGAGAGAGAGAGAAAACACAAGCAGGGGGAGCAGCAGGCAGAGGGAGAAGCAGAAAGTCTGCTGAGCAGAAAGTCTGATGCTGGGCTCATCCCAAGGCCTTGGGATCATGACCTGAGCCGAAGGCAGCCATTTAACCAACTGAGCCACCCAGGTGTGCCCCTATTTCTCTTTTGATTGGAGAGAGAGCAGACCATGAGTGATAGCAATCAGTATAAAATACCTAGAAACTGCATATCTGAAGTCTCTACAGTCAAGAAGAACTGGAAAGGGGTGCCTGGGTGGCGCAGTTATTAAGCATGTGCGTTAGGCTCAGGTCATGACTGGGATCAAGCCCTGCGTCAGGCTCTTTGCTCAGTGGAGAGCCTGATGCTCCCCCTACTTGTGCTGTTTCTCACTATATCTCTCTGTGTCAAAAAAAAAAAAAAAAAAAAAAAAAAGGTAATAAAAAGGCCACTTATACACAGACCTAATATTCCTGGACCCAATAGGCAGGCAGAATTCTAATAATAATAGATTTTTTTTCCCTAACATACTTTTTTTTTTTTTTTTAAAGATTTTTATTTATTTGACAGAGATCACAAGTAGGCAGAGAGGCAGGCAGAGAGAGAGGAGGAAGCAGGCTCCCTGCTGAGCAGAGAGCCTGATGCGGGACTCCATCCCAGGACCCTGAGATCATGACCTGAGCTAAAGGGAGAGGCTTTAACCACCTAGCCACCCAGGCACCCCCCAACATACTTTTCATGAACTATATTATTCTCCTTGCATCATGGTAGAGACTGGGATCAATGCCAAAAACACTGACTTACTCAAGAGATTTCTGAATATGCACATAAGTAATTCATGTGATTGTATGGGAATGTAGAATTCATGTGATTGTAAGGACGCTGTATGCACAGAATTTAATTTACTTAAGAATGAAGCTTTGGCTGGAAATTTTTAAAAAACTCTCCTGGTGAGGTGCCTGGGTGGCTTAGTCACTCAAGCACCGACTCTTGATTTGGGCTCCTTGCTTAGCAGGGAGTCTGCTTGAGGACTCTCTCTCTAAAATAAATAAAATCTTAAAAAAATAATAAAAATAAAGTCTCCTGGGGTGGGGTGTCTGGGTGGCTCAGTGGGTTGAGCCTCTGCCTTCGGCTGGGTCGTGATCTTGGGGTCCTGGGATGGAGCTCTCCATTGGGCTTTCTGCTCAGAGGGGGGCCTGCTCCCCCAACCCCTGCCTCTCTGCCTGCTTGTGATCTATCAAGTAAATGAATGGGAAAAAAAAAAAAAAAAAAAAAAAAAGTCTCCTGGCGTGCTTGGGTGGCTCAGTCGGTTAAGCACCTGACTCTTAATTTTGGCTCAGGTCATGATCTCAGGATTGGGAGACTGAGCTCTGTGGTGGCTAGCACTGGGTGTGGAGCCTGCTTAAAATTCTTCCTCTCCCCCTATGTCACATGTGTGCTCTTTCTCTCCCAAAACACACACACACACACAGAGTCACCCAAAAAGCAGATGAGAATTGGCCTAAAAAAAAAAAAAAAAAAAAAAAAAAAATAATGGCATTCTATAAAGGACCACTAGGTTTTGTAACTAAACTTAAAACTTGTAAGGTACATATTACTAATGAGTTCTATGAAACATTCCATTTTGAGAGAAATTCAGCCAAACCCAATTAATGTAGGCTTATAAAACAAATTGTCCAATCAGTCAATAGCAGCAGTGATGGGGGGAAAAAACCTCCACAGTGAGTTTTCTGATTTTCAGTCACCTTATTTAAAAATGATTTCTATAACTGTTTATTCAAGTCCATTTTAACACAGCTCTGGAATATTTACTTATTAAATTTACTTAATTAAGTTTACTTAATTAAATTTACTTCTTTGTTCAGTATGTAAACTACACCAAGATCAATGGACTACAAGACTCCCATCAGTGCTTCCCCCAAATATAAAAGAAAGGCAATAACTCTGTTAATTTTCAGTTATCGCTTTGTTCATTCTTTCGTACAGATGGTAAAATGCAAATACTTTTTAAGTACCTTAACTGTAATTTTGCATTTACGTTTTAACTGGGCGCTAGCAAAATTAGTTTTAACTGAGATAATACACAATAATCATTCTCCTGAATGGTTAATACAGTAGGCACCGCAGTCTCATGTTAATCTCACCACTGTGAGCCATATCAGCCCATCTGACAGGTGAGGAAGGTGAGACTGGGGAGACATTCACTAGCTTTCAAGTGGCAGACCCAAAATTAAAATCCCAGGTCTGGAAAAACAAAAGAAAGCAAAAAAACAATATACCCCAAAACAAACCCAGGCCTGCCAGACTCCAAAGTTTGTGCATGGTCTTTACTCCCATGCTTCCTACACTCCACCACCTCTCCACTGAAGACCGTTACTATTAAAGGAGGTGGCAGGAGGAGGCCAGACTGCAACAGGAAGCTCCAAAATAATTTATAAAAATGTACTAATTATAACAAGGAGGCAGAGCAGGAGTGGGATGGGGGGAACAAATAAGAGCAGAGGTCTTTTTGGCTTGACTTGTTTTCAATATCCTTTAAATATCTTAAGTGTAAAGGACATAAACTTGTAAGGAAAATAACATATTCATTTGCATAGAATTCCCATAATTAAAAAATTTCAATACCATCAACTATGATGGAGGAGAATGTATATAAAAAAAAATTTGCTCAATATATAGAAATGAATAGGAAGCCATACTTACAATAGCCTTTTGAGCAGAAACCATGCCAAGAGACAGAGAGGACATATTAGTATGAAGCAAATACAGCAGCCAAGAGAAGGAACGATTTAGTAATTCATGAACATAAGCAAAAATTATGCATTTTGTTTTCAAAAATGTACATTTTTCTTTCTTCTATGGTCTCCTCATCCTGTCTTGTTCTCTTGAGTTTTATACACTGTGGCTAGCTCATATTATCCATATGACTGGATTTAACAATGCTTTTCTGCTTCCATGCTAAAAATAAATGACATAAAAATAATAATAAAAATGTGTAAACCATCCTACTGACTTAAGGTCACATGAAAGGACTATGCTTTTGGTAACAGAAATGGGCAGAAATTACGCTGTTCTTTAGAGGGAACCAGTTCCATTTGGCCAGTTGTTCTACATACTACCTGATATTCCTGAGATGCGACACTACAGGTTAGTGGAAGAGAAGATGAAAACATCAAACATTTGCTGGATTTGAGTCCTATCACAATAAGGAAAGTTCCTATCTGAATCTTTTCTATATATATAAAAGAACTCTAAGGGAATATCTAAGAAGTTAGAGTAACACCTCTCTAGCATCTGGGCAGTCAAATAAATTGACTAACTTAGGCAAATAGTACTTTCATGGCTGGCATCTCACTTCTGAAGTATGTTCTCTTTAAGTAATGGCACAGAGCATAGTTAATCAGATTTGATTACCACAGGGATACCTATGCAAAATTATTGTTTACAGAACAAACTCCTTCTGAATGTTCTAACACAAGTAAGAGAATCAAGCACATATGGCAGCTATCTCTGTAACACTAAGGCGGAGCTGATACTGATGTCCTGCCACTCTTATTTCCCATGTACCACATGCCCTTCCCCTTTCTCCTATAGCAAATCAACAAAAAGTCTCCTCAAAGTTTGAGAGACCAAGTGATTTCACTGAAGAAATCACTTAGGTTCATCTTGAAGACAGTCTTAGTTAGCCTTCTAAGTATTTTAATACACTAATGTTGGTTTTGCTTCATCTCTTTCTTGCTTGCCATTCTGGATTAGAAAAACACTTTTAAAAAGTAAACCGTAACATTTCAAACTAGTTCTATTTTAATAAGGGAATAAAGTAGTTTAGATGTTGGTGATAATTTTAAGAACTAGGAATCAATTTGGGGTCTAAGAAGGACTACCCACACATTAATGAAAGGATAAACCAAAACCAGAGATCTTAGAAAGAACATACTACCAATAGAAGATAGCCATAGGTTTATGAAACTCATAAAATCAGATCAATGATGAGCTATTTAGATCTAATATTCACAGGTTTTAAGTAATATGCTGGTTCAACACCCCTTCATTGGTTTCTTTCATTTTCATACCCTCTTACATTACTAAGACTGGATAGAAATGATATACCTATAGTTTTGACGATTCTCCAAAAAGCAACTACGTAGAGGTTTATACAACTATGTAAAGGTTTATACTCAAAGGCCAGAGTTTATAGCAAATTACACTAGCAATAATAAAAGAACCAACTGTCTGAAGCAAAGATTGGTCACTAAAATTAAGGGTTTTTTTTTTCCCCTCTTTACACTAATTTTGAACACTCTATAGCTGTGGTTCTACCGTGTACTCCTTATTAAAAGGAAAGGATTTGCAAAATTTATTCACACTTTCATCAGAGACTGACTACTATGTGCTACATGAGCATTGTGGTAATTCAGACAGCATGAGAAGATTAAAGAAGATCTAGTTCTGGCTCAACATGTTTACTATATTCTAATGCAACCATGACAGTCAAGCAGGCAAGGCTATGACAGATATGCAGAGTATAAGGGAATATTAAAATAAAAGAAGGTCTGTGAACTTCTATTTGTGTGGGGCTGGCCTGGGGTAGCAAGAGGATTCAGAAATTCAGGGATGGTTATTTCTAAGGATAGCATTATTTTTGAAAATATCAATTATACATAAAAAATCTCTACTTGAACATGCCCAATTTCTAACAGCACTGTTGTTGTTATCGGCCAGAGGGAAAAAACCCTGAACTCTGAAGATTGAGACAAACACATTTATAACACAAAGCCTCAGGGCGCCTAGCTGGCTCAGTCAGAAGAGCATGCGACTTCTTGATCTCAGGATTGTGAGTGTGAGCCCCACAATGGGAGTAAGGAATTTAAATGAATAAATAAAAACTTAAAGAAAAAATCCTAGTTTTCCCACTTCCTAAAACAAACAAAAAACTCCACAATGCCTCAGTCAACTCCTTAGCTAATAACTACAAATAAACTTCCAATTTCCAGCACAGTGATTCCAATCAGTACAATTAAGTACTGTCTGGTCCTTTCATTAAGGAATGTTAGTAATAGGAAAGTATTGCTTCTTTTCTATAACCAATATAATTGTAAATTATTCTGATAGAGACAATCAAATAAAAAACAGAACTTATAGCTTTTCTTAACACTGTGAAATTATTGGTCGGTATATATTAAAACTTACATCTTCTGCTTTTGAGCCTTGATCCTGTAAAGATTTTTGCAATTCTTCAACTTGTGACTGTACTTCCAGAAGTCTTTGATTCACCAACCTAGAAATCAACTGTATATTAATTTTCCAAGTTCAGACTTACTTTTATCTTCTCCCTAGGTTGTCATGTTGGTTAGAAAGGCAGTATAATTAACAAAACAAACGCTCATGTTAAGATAGTAGTGCAGTTCACTGTTTTGGCTATTTTTTTGTTTTACTTGAAATTTCTATGATGATTTCAAGTATGGTAGTTTAGTGGACATATTTTGTTGCCCCAACGTGCTTATATACACCTAATTATATGAAGTTCATGTAAATACATTTATTGAAACTATGTGTCAGGCACTATGCTCAGCACTGCACTAAAAGATCCCCATAGTGAAGGAATTCAGTAGGGAAGCAAAATGTTAAAATACAAGATAAATACTAATACAAGATAAATACTTCCACATAGCACACAGAGGTGCCAAAAATGAATAATGACTGCTTGAAGCAGAAAGAACTTTATCTAATCATGTGGAGGAGTTAGGCTTGACTGAACTGAGACTAGAACAAGAAATAAAATACTTAAGCGATTAAGAGTGGAAAGCAGATTTAAAACAGAGAATTCACCACGTCCTAATCACACAGAAAATGAGAGGTTATTGTGACTTTAAAAATGGCATGTCTAGAGCCTACTTTAAAAAAAAAAATTCTTTAAAAAAGGGGACGCCTAGCTGGCTCAGTCAGTAAAGCAGGTGACTCTTTATTTCAGGGTTGTGAGTTCAAGCTCCATGTTGGGCATGGAGCCTACTTAAAATTAATAATAAATAATAAATAACTAAATAAATAACATTCTTTAAGAACAACATGTCTAAAGACTAAATTATGAGGGAAAGAATGGCTAGAGATTAAACCAGAGAAGAGGAGAGGTTGGGTACAACCATGCACGAATACAAAAGTATTTAGAACTTATCTTAAAATCTGGCTGAAATGGAACAACCCACCCAGCCTTTAAAACAATGTTGATTCTGGAGCTCAGAAATTCTCTAAGTCAATTATGATTGACTTGGTTCCCTAATCTCGGGCAGTCACCCTAAAGGACTGCAAGAAGGGTGAAACTTAGACAACATTTTAGAGCACATTGGTAGGCGAGAGGAAGATGTTATTAAAAAGGTCAAAGTGAAGGCATGAAGACCAGGAGGAGGCTACCACAGTTATTAATAAGTATGCCTGAAAGAGGAGGTAACAAGGATGAAATCTATCTGAAGGGAAAAGAATACAAGGAAGAAAAACACTAAGGATTTTGGTTTGAATTACTGAAAAATATTTAATGAAGGGAATTCAGGAGAAACAGGCTGAGAAGGGAAGATAAACTTATTTTCTATTTGTTGAAAATGCAGAGCCTAGAGATATCTGTCAGACAGCTAGACCTCTGTGTCTGAAGCACAAAGAGAAATCTGTGTTGAAAATATAGATGTGAGAGCCATTTGGAGTTAACTGAGCCATAAGCAAAAATAATACTAACTAGAAAGATTGTGAAGAAGAGTGTAAAAGAGAATAAAGATGTCCATGGCAGATCACCAATCACAGGGTATAAAGAGGAGCTTCACCCTGAAGAGAATTAGGAGAAACATAAGAGAGTTGTGTTAACTGAAATTAAAAAAAAAAAGTTTAAGGAAGGGGAAAATGTACAACAACAATGAATACAATAGACATGAGGTAAGATAAAGTCTTGAATGCTCCTACTGGATTGGCCATTTAAGGGAGGACTGGTGATTTTAGGAGGAAACACATTAGTGAAATGGTAGAATGGCAGAACTACCTCAAATTAAGGACAAAACAGGGCAATGAATTTTTATAATCTAAACAGTCAGAAAATTCAATAAGCAATTTTTTTTTTACTAAGTAAACTGTAATTCTTACCATAAATGTTCCAAGTTCTGTAACTAGCGAAAATCACAGTAAAAATTCAATGAAATCTATAATAATAACTGATGTTTTTCAAATCAAAGGATAGAAAATTTGGGTGCTTTTTAAATGGTGAAGGAATTACCTAAATATCCATACTCAATGTGGGCAGATATGTCAATACATTACTAGTGACACTGTAACTTTGTTCCATCTTTTCAGAAAGTAATACGAAAAATATATATATATTTTTAAAGATTTTTATTTATTTATTTATTTGACAGAGAGATCACAAGCAGGCAGAGAGAGAGGAGGAAGCAGGCTCCCCTAGAGAGCAGAGAGCCCGATGCGGGGCTCGATCCCAGGACTCTGAGATCATGACCTGAGCCGAAGGCAGCGGCCTAACCCACTGAGCCACCCAGGCGCCCCCGAAAAATATATTTCAAACTATTAGAGTATTTCAACCATCCACCTTAGCCATTTTTGAAATTATTTAATAAAAAAATACTGTGGTAATTAACATAATGTATACTAAATCCGTATCAAGATGTTCCTACACAACTCAGATGTCTAGTGAGAGGGAATAGACAATCACAGCAATAGAACTGTTGAAGTGTGAATTATGCACAGAGGAATGAAGATATACAAATATAAGTGGAAAAAATATGAGTTCATCTTTTTTCAAAAAATGCAACTTCAAAAAAAATAAAAATAAATGAGCATTATAATACCTACTTCATGGTGTTGTTTAGAAGAGTAAGATAATATACAGACTGTTCAGCACAGTACCTATACATAACAGGCACTCTATAAATGTGAATTGCCTCTAATCTCCCTTCAGAGATTTAGTTAGTTCACATCTTAAGTAAAGTCTACTTACATATAATTGTCAGGAAGTATAGGAAGAGGGTGAGTTTGAGATCATAATAAACTCTCAGTGGGAAGGGAACAAGATCATGTATGTATACTTTGACAAAGAAGTGTATGTGAGGATCAGCAAGTTATTACAGATTTTAAAAAAGCCAAGTTACTGGGAAAACTAATTGGAAAGAATTGTGGAGGTTTACGACAACCCTTTCCTTCTGACAGACAATATATTGATGGTGAACAAATTGAATTTAAGTTAAAAGATTCAGTGGAACTAGAGATTAAGAACTAGAGATTAAGTTAGAGACAAGGTCCTGTAAATTCTTATTAAACTCCATTAAGAACAAACTTAGGGAAAAAGCCTTCCATGAGGGGAAGACAGAAAAAAATGTTTTGCAAACATGGCAAAAGAGAAACTGAAAAGAAAGAGGGTATGGAGGGGTGCCTGGGTGGCTCAGTGGGTTGAAGCCTCTGCCTTCGGCTCAGGTAATGATCTCAGGGTCCTGGGATTGAGCCCCGCATCGGGCTCTCTGCTCTGCAGAGAGCCTGCTTCCTCCTCTCTCTCTGCCTGCCTCCCTGAATACTTGTGATCTCTGTCTGTTAAATAAATACATAAAAATAAAAAAAATCTTAAAAAAAAAAAAAAGAAAGAAAGAGGGTATGGATGGGGTGCTTGGCTGGCTCAGTTGGTGGAGCATGCGGCTCTTGCTCTCGGGTTTAGTCAAGCCCCATGCTCAGTGTAGAGATTGTTTAAAAATAAAAACCTTAGAAACAAAAACAAAAAAAAGGTATGAATTACGTAGAGGCTTTGAATTTAGGTAGCCTGGGTCTGAGACCAAATTCCCTCACCTGTAAAACTTTAATAAAGATAAGACTACATACTTAAAATGAATAGCACAATATATGGAACAAACAAAACCTTAATAAACATTAGCTGCTATTATTATTGTTGTTCTAGGTTACATATGGTCATACTACAAAGGCAAGTTATCAATCTGTACTGTAATTCAAGCAAAAGGTCTGCTGGGAAGATGGCAGAGTAGGAGGGTCCTAAGCTTGCCACATCCCACATATGACAACAGCTAGCTACAACTAGATACCACCACAGGAGTGTAAATAACCCAGGAAACAACTTGAAAACTGGCAGAACAAACTTCACAACTAAAGGTACAGAAGAGGTCCCACTGAAGAAGGTAGGAAGGGCAAAGTCACGGTTTGGGAGCAAAACAGACCATGACTGCCCATAGTGGGGAGGGAGCCAGTGGCATGAAGGGCGGAAAACACACTTTCACCAGGGAGCCCTGAATAGGAAGGACGGATCTCTGTAATATTTGACTTTCAAAGTGAGAGAGGCTGAATTTCCTGAGTTCTTAAAGCCAGCAAGACTTAAAGCCTGGAATTTAAAAAACTGGTGAGCTCGGCTCTGGTAGAGCCCTGACTGCAACAGGAAGCAGTGCCCCAGCCCTTAAAGACACAGCATGACCAAGGGTAGTGTAGATATAGCACAGAACCAGCACTTTGAAACACCGAGGGCGGACTAGAGGGAGTGATTTGCCCATCTCTGAATGTGGCCCGGAGAAATAGGGATCATGCAGAGACCCTTCCAGGAATAAAGGAACTGGCAGACACCATTTCCCTCTCCCTGTCCCCCAGCAAACACATAGCCACCACTCCTACCTAATTTGTACCAACCACTGCTCCGTGGTTCTGCCCTTCCCAGTCACACTCCACTTAAGCCCAGGGCTGCAGCACATCAATAACCCCCACCCCACCGCCATCCAGAAAACTTGTGCAAACCCTGCCAACCTCTCATCTCCTATCTCCCAACTTGTGTGTTTTGTGGGACCTCTGGTCTCATTTGTGGGTCAGATCTCATTTCACAAGCACACCATTGCACACCTTGTTAAAACACTCCCCACCCCTGCTGGGGACCAAACACTGTCCACAATATGCAAAGAAAGCCTCTAAAGACAACTGGAATGAAGGAAAAAGAGGTCAAGACTCAATAGCAGAGCACACACGTAGGAGATGCACCCTGAAGTGCCAGGCCCTGGGGAATAGGCAACACTGCACTACAGGACCTCTTTTTCATTAGGCTGTTATCATTAGTAGCAAGAGAAGTAGCTGACTTTCCTAACAGAAATAGACACAGAAAGTAAGACAAAATGAGGAGACACAGAAATATGGGCCAAATGCAAGAACAGGACCAAACCACAACAAGAGGCCAAAGCAAAACAAATATATGTAATATGCCTGACGGAATGTAAGGTAGGAAACATAAAGATACTCACGGGACTTGATAAA